GTATCCGTCGAGATCCATTCCTTTGTCTTCTTTCTTCTTCCTTCCTAATACTGTTGTGCAGGTTTCTTTCCACATAGCTTTCAAAGACTTCCAGTGTTCTTCCACACAGGTTTCTTCAGGGATGTCCCTCGATGTCTCCCATTTTGTCTTGATGGCTGCCTTGAAGATCTCCTTTGTAGTTTCATCCTTCAGTTTCCGAGTGTTGTACTTGAATTGAGGTCTATCACCAGCTTCCTTGAAGGCTTTTAACTTGATTTGGAAGGTTCCTTGCACTAGATAGTGGTCTGAACCTACATCTGCTCCTCTTCTTGACCTTGTGTTAAGTAGACTGCGTCTCCATTTTCTTGAGATTGAGATAAAGTCGATTTGATTTTTAGTGTGTCCATCTGGTGAAGTCCATGTCGCTTTGTGGATATCCTTGTGCCTGAACACACTGCCTCCAATCACCAAATCGTTGAATGCACAGAATTCTGCAAACAATTCTCCATTCTCATTCATTTCACCTAGCGCCTCTCGACCCATGGTTAGTTCTCTTCCTGTGTTGTCCCCTCCCAGTTTGGCATTCATGTCGCCCATTAGAATTTTGATATCGCCAACTGACGTCTTGTCCAGTGTTGATTGAAGTTGTCTGTAGAATTCCTCCTTTTTCTCTTGCTCTGCATTATTTGTAGGTGCATAACATTGTATGATTGTGACCTTTCTTCCTTTTGAGTTGAATCTTGCTGTCATGATCCTGGAGGAGATTGGTTCCCACTGCATGAGAGCCTTCGATGCTCTTGAGGACATCATGATAGCCACTCCATAACTCAGTGTGCTCGTGGTTGGCGTCTGGGTGAGAATATCGGAGTAGATTATTGATTCTCCAGTTGACTGTTTGGAGAGTCCACTCCCATTCCATCTGCTTTCGCAAATCCCAAGCACTTCAATGTGATACCTTCTCATCTCCTTTGCAATCTGGGCTGCCTTACTGGGTTCAAACATCGTGCGGACATTCCATGTCCCCACGTTTACTTTCGCTTTCATCGAGAGAAGACACATCGGCCAATTGGCTTCCCGAAGGCTTTCACCAACTGGCGTCATTTCGCCTCTCCGATTCCAGCGGGGAATAAGTTTGTTTTCATTTTTTATATTTTGTTTGTGCTTTGAAGTTTCTTTAGCGGTTAGATTTGTTTTACGGGGTAGGGTTGCTAGCCCTATGCCCAACCTTCCCTCTTTACCCGGGCTTAGGACCGGCTAGTAACTAGTAAACTAGTTAACCAGGCGAGGTTGCACTGACCATTACCGATGATATATTTAGTATATCAGTACTGAAATGAACTCCATATGTTATGATGCTTAATCATCGGTATTTTCAACTGATCTGTTCTGAACACAACTCAGGCATCTGAGACTATTAGTCAGACCTGGCAATAGTTGTGATGTCTTGCGTAATGCTAGTGAAGCTCCAACAATTATCTCATCATTCCTAGGTCATGAAATAGTTGAACAATTGTGTTATTATTTAAATTATGAACTTCCGATGAAGCCAGTACGTTATAACATTAGTTTAGAAGAGTAGACCCTCAATAACTAGGATCGAACACGATGAAGCGGTTCAAATACATGAAGGATTAGTACCAAATAGAGTCAGTGAATTTCTCTGATGAAAATAGCAAACTAAATTTCCAAAAACTTGAAAGTTGATCGTCACCTGGTGAAGTCTATAGGTAAAGTATTGATCAACGTTTTTAAAATGGTTGGCGGTAATTGAGCTCTCTGCAGTGATCGGATGCTATGCTGAAGCAAGCGAAAATAACATGACTTATCTCGATGCAACTTTTTATGGTAGATTTAAAATGTAGAAGGAAATTTTAGAATGCACAACGAATAAATGTTTCTGTAATGGAATGCAAGTAGCTCACTGATTATCTCAATACTTTACAACAAAAAACAGGACCGACAGAAGCATAAAATAAACGTAGAACTTCAAAAATAAGTGAATCAGTTCAGGGTGCCAAATCTCACAATAGTGATAAAAAGATAGAAAAGGCTGATATCAAAGAATACAAAGGTGCAAGAAGGGATAAAAAGGTTGAGGATTTAGGCTTTTACGAATATCCAAGCTATAGTTGTCAAACAGTGAATACCTCTGAGTCATTGCGACCGATTTTCAACCATGTTACAATGAGTCCTCAACCACTGATTCCTATCGTTTCGGCCACCCGAGCCATCTTGTCTATATCTCACGACATCGCTCAGACAAATAGTCACAGACTTCACCCAATGGTGTCACATCTTGTTGTGACCAACCTGAACTCTCTTCCTACGTCTCCTAGCATGACACGTCAAGGTAGGTGAGGACTCAACGTGTGCAGTGCACATCTGAACCGTTTCATCCCATGAGATCACAACCTCATCAATCGACTTGCCTAGCGCACCATTCGTCTGACTTTAACATCGCTCACACGTTGATTCCACTAGATGAGAACGATGCTACGAAGGTATCTGTGATCAAAACGCTGTAACAGCCTCATATGTCCTACTTTTGATGGCCATTTCTCACAACCAGATAACACGACAGAATGGACTGGAGTGCAGTAATACTCGCCATTTGACAAATAGTCGGATATCTTGCCAGTTGGTGCCACAGTTAGCAAATGCCAGGTGGGTCATGTATAAGCGAGCTGAGATTTCGTCAGCAACCAACCCATTCACGCTGATGCAACTCCCCAAGTAAGTGAACTGATTGACATATCCTACCACTTCACTGCCTATCATTAAACTGGGAGTACTTGTAACAGACCTGTTCTGAATCATCTTACATTTATCAGGTGTGGAAAGGATGCAAAACATACTCAGATTTCTTATCAACGCGTCCAGAAGATCTTGAATTGCGTCACCTAGCAGGACAATATCGTCTGGGCGCTCTAATTCAAACAGATGGCCTCCAGGAAGTAGGTAAATTCCTGTGAAGTCCGATGCCCTGAGTATTATATCTATCATGTATCTATGATGAAGTTAAGTAGGAACAGTGACAGTGGACATCCGTTGCGAACCCCGCTAGCTGTCGTGACTCCTGATGATAACTCTCCATAAGTCCTGTCACTGCTGGTTGATTAGAAGCAGAGCATTGAGAGGCACTACATGCTTGCTCGCTAGTTTCTTCACAGTCAAATATTGCCACAACGCTTTATGGTCGACTGAGTCAAATGCCGCCTTCAGGTCAAGAAATATGCCAAGTGTCAGCTGCCGACAGGTATACCTGCTTTGGAGGGGGTGGAAATATGATCGATCATCCTGCTGTCTGAAACCCGCTCCAGTTAGGCGTCGGATAACTATGGACCATAGGATCTTGGACACAATATTAGTCAAACAAATTGCCCTAGTGGTTGTCACAGGGAGACTTTCTCCCTTCAATGAAGTTCACCATTCCGACGGAACTATCTCTGATTCGCCTACGCTACCTAGTACTTCAGTCAGTAATTTCCTGCCTCCATCCATGAAACCTTTGGGTGGCAAACTGTCAGATCCGGCTGCTTTGCATTGTTTCAGGTTGATACAGCCTTCCCAACTTCAAGAGATTTGGACGACCGACATATATGTATTCTTCAGGCTGAATGTTTAGCAACTGAAACGTTGCTGTGGGCAAGTTGAACTGTGCTTCAGAGCGTTCTCTGCGATGTCCTAGCAGTCTGTCGTGGGAGGTTATCACCGTTCCGTCCTTTTCGGTGATGCTCTCACTAACCAACGTTTTCTTCTTGCTGGTATTCCTAATAAGCTTAATTAGTTGGCCAGTGTTACCGATTGCTGACACCTCCATCTCTCGCCTCTGCTCTCGATTAATGCGATGACTATGAGTCAATTTAAATTTGGGTTGCTATTGCTTTTCATTTTGGTCAAAGCCAGCTGGAACCAGTGTTCTCGCATCAAACAATGGGGATTACGTCGCAGAAATCCAGTGACGTTAACTAACCTTCTGGTATAGGTTACCAACTGTCTTTTCCGCAGTTTCTACAGAGAACTTAATATAAATCCACGTCTCTCTAGAATGAGCATTGTTGTTATGTTCAGATAAATACTCAGCTATCTCCTGCCTAAATAATTCACTTTTGTATCTTTCAATCCAGCACTTGCAGGCTTTACTAGCACCTGTTTGTAGCGACCTGTCAGGTGCAAACATACATGAGCCCGTACTAGCGCGTGATCGGAGTCAGAACAGGTACTCCAAAAGGAAGGACAATCCTCCACCAATGGCTTACAGCAATGAAATCTATCTATGTTTATCGTCGATTTGACGTCGGCGGACGCTATGTGACACAGTGTCTATCCTTATGCTCAAAGTTAGTGCAGCCCAGAAACAAGTGACTTTCAAGAACCAACTGCAACAGACAATCACCGTTGTCAGTTTGTTGGCATTCCGTAAATACCTACAAGATGCCTTTCCCATTGGCTCGGTTTAGCTCAGCTTCCCTACTTGAGGGTTAAAGTCACCTGCTACTGTGATTACATCTAAACGTTTTGCTTTCTGCAGCAAACTTAACAGCTTCTCGAAGAATTCATCCTTTGCATTATCCGAACTCCAGTACATGAGCAGAGATCACGAATAGGCATCAGTTGATCTGACAATCCATCCAAGTTCTTACAGATGTATTCAGTCGAACAGCACCTAGGTGACTCTTGATTGGCATCCAGTCGAGAAGTGCACTTACTGCTCTACAGCTCAATACTAAGCCTACACAGGCGAATGCATCACAGCTAGCCATTTGGTTTCCGGCTATCCGTAAGGCAAATTTTCAAGATTCACTACTACATCCATGCAAGGTTAATTTAATAACTGCATACGTGACTCAGAAATGTAGCATACACCCATGGATGAAGATTTCAAAGTTTTGGTAAGCGATGCTTGCTGTCGGATTTGGAACGCAGCCCGGCCGTTGAAAACTCCTAGATGAAATCGATGGTGAGTGGGTCTTAGGAGACTAAGAATGAATTTTCGATGACGTTTATCGCTGGCAATGGTCGCAAAATGAGAGGTTGAAGGTGTATGCAGCCTAATATTAGTGCCAGGAGGTGAAGGCAAAGGAGAAGAAAGAGTGTAGGAGGATAGGTTATATTTGAAGTGGTCTTGTGTACTTCTGGAAGCGTGCGGAAGGATGACATTTCTCAACCGCACACACCGCGGAAGGCTAATTCTTCTTAAGGTAACTAGGAGGGAAAAATATTTTTGTGACCACAGAGCCCACAGAACAACATAACCATCAGCACCAGAAGATTGTGCTATTTTTTAGGCCAACCTTTTTAACTCCTCACTTTTTATCCGCGAGGCAGCACCGGCGTAGCGCTGATGGTCATCCAAAGAAAACACCTTACTGATATTATACCCCACCAGCTAGAAACAGTACGACTTCACTTCTCAGACTCCCATCAAAGTGTAGCAGCGGTAACTGGTATTTCGTCTCACCATCATTCGACAGGCTTTCCCGAGATGGTAGGACATTGAGGAAAGAAGCATCCCAGACAGTATCTCATCGTATCATTGTGATATATATGTATGTATGTATGCATGTAGCTATCGGGAAACAAACAAGAGCAAAACCATTGGATGAATTTATTCATAAATGTTGCGAATCCTTCTATCAGCTACCACCAATATTATAGGAAGCATTTGATGGCTTTCAATAATTCAAGCCTGTAGCTCTAAATATAGGAAAGAGGGTTGCCAATGTACACTTAATAAGGTCGCAGGGAAAAAAAGCACATAAAGCTTTCTAACAACACATGGTAAATAACTAGCCCTCTCTTTAATCGACACTAATCGAAAAAGACGTTTGGATTTGTTCATAACACGAAATTTTCTACCAAGAATAAGAGTCACATAGATGGTTGTCCTGTACACGTTATCATACAACTTCAACATCATAGTATTACAATCAATTGTATACCACTTGCCGCCAATTTCATATCAGAACTATTTTTCGCAAAACATGTGCATATACTTGTAGTTCTATTGTTGTGACGTAAAGTGAAACTCCAATAGACGAAGTTATTGAACCACAAATCATTGTAACAGGAAAGCCTCTTTCGCAAAGCTGTGTAACTGATCATCAATCAGTATTAACCCATGCATATTGCTGTTGGTGTATTTCACCAAGATATCAAAAGATATGAATAATAAAGCTAAGTAAAAACGTAAATCACATTTGCAATCTATACTCCTTGGAAGTAATTGAAATATCAAAAGTAAGTCGGTGCATCTCTGCCAGTATAATGTCATACTATTAACCGCTATCTATAACAACAGACTTCAGTTGACCCTTCCAAGGTTCATGAAGTTCAACTGCACAGTTAAGATCTCGCAGAGCTGCTTTTGCATCATCATAACATGCAGGTATCTTTAATGCAGAATTCAACAGTTTTTCTAAGCCAGTGTCTATTCCACAATCTGATGCCAAAAATGTAGACTGTAATTCCGGTGCTCTTGCAACACAATTACGTATTGCCCTGCATACAGTTCGTACAGTTGTAGCGTTGGATAGATGTAAATCAAGAGTCTAAAACAGAAACCAAAACACTACAATTAGGATTGTAAGAAATAAATTGGTTCAGCTCTAAGGTATGATAAACAGCATATGCTTGGAGCAGTGCTAGCAGAGGTGATGTTGTTCCCACCGAAACAACATCACTCACTGGAAGCTAGGTACATCCAACTGATGAGTCCCAAATAGAACGAAATGCGAATCCTGGATTCCACTATTAGCCACTACACATCATTACTATGCATAATTTAAAGAAACAGGCAATATCGAGGCATCCACACAGGAGCCCATATACCAACAGAGACTGATCAATTCAGTTGAATCAACGACGGTGTAATACAAGCAATAATACTAATAAACATTTATGTAAAGAAAAGTGAACATCAGTCGATATCCACTCAATTGTTCATAACGTATAGGGTAAAGACTGAATGAAACGACGTACACACACCACAGCATATTTATTCAAAGAACAGTATGAGTTATAAAGCACTTGTTTAAGTAAGCTTTCTATATATTGATCGTCTGATAGATCCATTTTGCTTCCGACACAAGAGTAGATCAAGAAATGCAAGTTGATGGTCTTTTTTCCTTCTCACATATCAAACTTATATGATCTTATATAGTATTAAGCCTTTTTAACAAACCCCTAGCATCTATATATATATTACAAAGATATCATCAATATACCTTCTATAGAATGTGACACTATTGATTAAATCCTGAGCCATTAATATGTGACATATATACATTAGCTTATAACGGTCCTAACGGACTCCCCATAGCAAAACCATATATTTTGTCGAAAGTGAAATGAACCTTATCGGTATATAATAAAAGTAGCTCTTTCAAATACATTGAAGGAATAAAGAAAGAAAGATAATTTAAGGATATATAATCGCAAAAGGAATACATTTTCTTATCTCTGTTATTCATATTACAATAAGACAATCAACACAAATTTAAAAGTATCTTTCAGTGAATACTTACAAATTAGGCTAAGTATTCCAGTCAATCTATTTCACCAATTTATTGTGTAGGAGACTGATCCCATAGGTTTTAAGGAAGGAATTGAACTCCACTTTAGTAATAACATTTATATCAAAAAGTTTAACTAGACTAGTTGTTACTTTTCCTTTTATTTTTACAAAAATTATTATATCCATTAATGAAACATTCGTTATGAATTTACTTTCATCATAAACAATACTCTACTTTTTTTTCTCACTAACGCAACACTTGTAACTACCTTTATCCAGGCTTAAGTATTCTTCTATAAATTTTCCAAGGACTTCAAGTGTTGCATAGTTAAAATACTTCCCTATTTCTCATCTAGATTATGGAATTGATAGGTAATATCAACTAATTTAGCCTTTAATCAACTTTGGTTATCAGAAGAGGTAAGAACTAGTTAACTGATTATATAAATTTTCGAAATGGCCATCCATAACCAGTGTGGAGATTTTCTGCACTCAGCATAAAACGAGAACAAGATCTCAATTTTCAACCCTAATATCAAGTCAGTGCTTCTATGTGATGGTTGAGAGACTTGGCGAGTTACAACAAGCATTTCCAACAAACTACAGACATTCATCAACAACTGCCTACACTGGCTCCTTACTGAAGATCAGCTCACATGGTCAGAAAGAATAAGCAACAAGGAACTGTGGCTGGCTGGCAACGAACCAACCAAGAACCTATCACTTAACAAATATGCAGAAAGAAGTGGAGATGGATTGAGCATGCACTGAGATCGTTCGGGGACATCACGCGCCAGGTCAGGCCATCGAGTGGAACCCAGATGGGAAACGGCGAGTTTGGCGTCCGAGGCGAGGGTGACATGGAGACGGTGTGAGGAAGAAATGAGAGCTTGTGGGCAGTCGTGGAACCAGGTTGAAAAGATTACAAAGAAGAGAGTAGAATGGAGACGTGCTACTGAAGCTCTATGTTCCACTAGGAACCCAAGGGACAAATAATGAATATAATAATAATATGGAACTGAAAAATTGAATCCAAGGGAAAAAGTTTCTTTCTCATATACTGAAAGTTCAACTGAAGACAAGTTCGTCATATATTTATCCGGATTTGATATGACAAACAAGAGAGAGATGTCTGACAGCACAGAAGAAGCATCTACATGAAGTTCAGTTAATATTACCAAAGTAAAGGGCTTACCCGGTGGTGACCTTTAAATGATTATATATATATATATATATATATATATATATATATATATATATATATATATATATATATATATATATATATAAGTAGTATTCATTATGGACGGACATCAGTTGGGGAACCATTGAATATCTGGCTCCCCCATGATGTGAATACTACTTCTAAATTAAAAGAAATCCCCATTCATCTCAAAAATATATTACTGTATAGTGTTCACTAGTGACTTGCTTCCAAATGGATGTTAGGAAGTTCTAATGAGAAACCGTGACCTGTGGGGTCAACCAGTCGGAAGTGAAGTGGATGCTAACTGAGGACCTTGGGTGATAGTCGCGGTATATCGTGAATTGACACAAGTTGGAAATTGTGAACCACTGGGAACCAACCTAATGGCTGAATGGTTAACGCGTTCGCCGAAGGTCTTGAGTTCGATCCCTAGCCAGGTCGTGGGTGCGTACTGCTGAGGAGTCCTATACTAAGATGAAACAGCTGTACAGTGCTCCCAGACTTTCAATGGTTCCCCAACTGATGTCAGTCCATGATGAACTCTACTTCTAAGTTAAAAATCCCCACTCATATATATATATATATATATATATATATATATATATATATCATATTTTTAGGTGTACTCTTTAAAATTCTAAAAGCATACCTTAGTCAGGTATATAGCTGCACCTGATGAGACAAGAGATTTTGCAAGATCAGGTTGTCGAAGGGTAACTGCTGCAATTACACCTGCGACATATTTAGTAACAATTGGACTCTTTATATAATCTTCAAATACATCTATAATAAGCTGAGGACCAGAAGTATCATGCATTGACCAACTGCCAACAGATCTTTTACATGCATCTGAACCACACAATGCTTGTAGAAGCATTAATCCAGAAGAGACTATAGACTAAAAATATAAAAACAATATGAAATTGATTTTATTAGTCAAGTAGTGACAATTAATGCATATTTGGAATATTATACAACTGAGCAATCAACTGGTTATTATCTATATCAGTGTATAACATTGACTTAGCTACTTATTACTACATTACATTGAATACATTTTCCCTGCTTTTCTCTGATTGGTTGTATGTCGTTTAGCTATTTAAAGTTGTCTGATTGGTCGACATAGTGGAATCATCGTTCCTACCTATTGTTGACTGCAATTTAGATGTTTTGCTGTTACATAACCTCCAATGTATGTTTTCAATTATTAATAAATACAGAACAACTTATTATTACGAGAAAGCCAAACAGCCTTCTGGAAAAAAAACTGATTTTTATGTATAGCTGAAACATATGATACATATAGAGAAATGTAGCTGTGACCCATTGGATTGAGTGTTAAAACGCCAACTGATATGCCGTTAGTTTTATACACTCCCTAAACATACTTACTGATGATTGGACAGACTAGGAGTATCAATAGTCCCCCACACAATAAGTATAGCTCAGAGGAATTTGCACAGATGCAGAAAAGTTTCAATGATGTTACGGTATACAATTAAATAAGTTTAGAAGACGTTGGTTACCTTAAAAGTGTGATGTATTTGCGCTATATATTTAGAACAAATCGGATCACACACTTAATTGTTAAAGCACTTTATAAGAAAATTGGAAGTGGATGAAGGACAAAGATGACATAAAAGAATTTAATAATAAGAAAGACAATGAAGGGAGAAAGATAAGACTTGAAGACAACTTTAGTAATACATACGGCAAGATAAGCATTACTAGGGTGGGTTCAGTGTAAGGATAAACTATTTTTGAATACACTACAGGGGCTTAGATTTGTGCATAGATAATGCTTCAACAAGTGAGCCTAAGTGCACTCTCAAGTGGACATCTCCATTAGTCCTCCCTATGTGTGTCCACACACACACACAAATTCACAAGCGTAGCTGAATGTGAAGCAGTCATTTATGCAATATTGAGGTCTTTATTCCAACATGTATTTGGTCTTCTCAACTGCAATCCGCCTAGCTGCATAGTATGTTTTGCAAATGACAAACCTTAGCCTTCGCTTCAGAATTACACTGTAAGGTTCCACTTTATATAGTAGCGGGATATAAAGGTATTTCTTCGGAGCACAATATAGACTGAGTTTCAACGCCAGTTAGTTTTTGCAGCGGTTTATGCACTTCAAAGGATATCTATTTTCTACTGTTTTGCCTATCAACATCGATTAAGTCTTCCGTACAGATACACGGAATCCTTTTGAATAGACACATTACCAAACCTTGCTTGTATTGATTTGGACAAAAGCTATGGAAACTTGAATAATGAACTGTCCAAGTAGGCTTCATGTATATCGACCGTTGAACTGAACTTTCCTACGACACAGGAGTATATACTAGAACGCCAGGCGGTTGTCCTTTTCTTCTTCACATGTTAAGCGTATAGTGCTTTGCACGATGTTAAGCCATTCGAGCAAACATGTCGCGTCTTCATGCTTGTCACATATTACAACTATATCGCCAATATATCTTTTACACACAGGAACTTTACTGATGATGTCACCAGTTATCCAAATTCATAAAAGGGACTGGTTTCAAATAAGTTAACATGAGTACATGTTACAACTTCTCAATGTAAAAGTTTCATGAGAATATACAAACCAATGACACTACATACATCATAATCACACCTTTATGAAACTGATTTCTGAATAAACATCCATTGTCTGTAACAGAACATTTTTCATTCGTCTAACATCGTTATACCCACATTTAATTAATGCCACTAATAGGTTTTATGCTTAGCCACCGTCTGGCTTGTCGCAAAAAAGTTGGCTGGAGTAGGTTGAAGCTACAAAAAGCGTCGGGTCGGCCAGACTAAAACATGGCATCAATGTATGAGGTCGTTGACTGTTCATTTGAGCCATATCGGGAGATGCAAACTAGCCAGTTGAGTCCGTAAGATAAGAGAAACAAGTGGTTGGAGATTCTAGGTGATATGGCTCAGAACCGATTTCATTGGCACAAATGTATACACACATTATCCTCTTCTTAACCGCTATACTTAATCTCACCATTTTCTCATTCCTCCTTCCTCTCTTTTACTACTTTCTACTTCATACTCTTTCCTTATCTTCCATCTCATTGCCTTTTTACTTGACTTGTTGATATGAGATGTGGCAACTTAGACCGTTACACATAATGCCGGGTTCTATGTTGATCATGATGAACAGATTCTATGAAGGTAAATGATGAGATTGATTTCACAAAAGACAACTTCAAACATGCAGCAACCTAAAATGAAAGTTATAAGTTTGAGAGCATTAGTAAATTGGAGGAAAATAGCTTAAATTCGTTCATATTGGTTACTATCAGAGAAATCCAGGATGTGCGTTTTGTCCTATTTGGGACTCGGCAGCTGGATGTACCTGCACATCAGTGGGTGATGTTTTTACACTGAGACTCGAACACATTACCCATCTCTTTAAGTACCAACGCGTTATTATTCACTGCGCCACTGGGGCATGAAAGCCATTTCTTGTGCAACGGGTATCAGTTGTTGTTGTGTTGCTTGTAATTTCCAGCCGAAGAGTCTCAAATGTGGTGAAATGCGCGTCCTGGATTCGTTTGCTAGCCACCAACACGAATGTAGCATGAATAGCCGGCAGTATCGAGGCATCGACGTAGGAGCCCATCTCCCAACAGCAGAGGTCGAGCAATTCGCCACTATATAGCAACAGGAAACTACAAGTATTACAACAATATAATGAATATTAAAACAGGATCACACATTACTGGATGACGGTAGAAGTTGCCAAACCTCATCAGCACAACAAGCAATACATTGGAAGACAAAGTAATGGAGAAGAACCAATTAATAGCAGTAGAAAGTAGCAAATCAGAGGAGGTGGGGAATAAAGAAACACTGAATCTAGTATAACGATCACGATAATGTGTGGATACACCTGTGTCAATGACGATGATTTTGAGCCAACCAACTACAGGTATCTGTAGTCACATGGACGTTAACCGGGAGATCCACATTCCTATACGCGGCTCAGATCAACAGTCAGGGACTTCATGCAGCGATGCTACATTTTAGTCTGATCGCCCTGAGCCTTTTTCCAGCCTAAACCTACTGGCGATGCACAACGAAGCAGCCGGTGATTAAGTATGTCCCAGTAACTTGAGCCACTGAAGGTTTACAATTTTATCAACTGATTTTCCTCTCTTCCCTAAAACTCTACACCTGGACTTCGGCATTAATGTGGTGATACTCTGACGCATGGTCTATGCTATGAATCCAGTGATGGTCAAATACCTGAAGCCTTATCACATCTTCTACCTTTAAGGGTCATGTTTCAAAACCATACAGTAGAACAGAGTGAACTGTAAGGTAGTATTCTCGATCCTTAATCGCAATCAGATATCACAGAGGCACCATATGTGGTGAAAGCCGATTTAACCTTTTGTATCAGTGTAGAGATTTCGCCGATCACTGACCCATCAGGGTTGAGCCAAGTTCTCAGATAAATGAAGTGTTCAGTGCGCTCACCCACTTCATTCCCTGTTGTTAGCCGGGGCACCGCTGATGATCAGTGCTAAAGCAACAATTTACATTTGAGTTGTGAGAAATGAATCCCAGGATTCTCAAAAAGTCACTTGAGAGATCCAGAAGACTTTGAATTCTGTCAGTATCTTCACCTAACAAGATTATATCATCTGCGTAATCATTATCTGCATTAAATCTTGAAGTGTGAGAGAATTCTTAGAGTGTTACAAATATTCAGAAGCTAATTTGCTAGCTAACCTTAGTGTTATTTATGACCGTTACTTATTAGGTAAACCAACCTAATTTTTCTCTTAAATTAGTTTGTGAAGAAATAACTGGATACGGTTGTATGGGAAGGTAATCAAACAAAGTATACGAGTTAGCGGGTGGCTTTACTATCTATTCTACTGCCACCGTATCAAACTAACTTCATACCAGGGATTTCGGATCAGAATAATTCTGGAGTTTAGTAAACAAATCAAGAAAAAAATCCACTCAGCAACCTTTTTCATATCTGTGCAGTAGGCAATGAGGCACACCTGTTGTGTGAAGAGGGCTAATTATACTACCTAGCTGCAGAAACCTTAGGAAATGGAGTAGTGTTCGAACTTGCGACCCGCTTGGTTGAAAGTCAACTCCCTAACAAGAATGAAACTATTAAACTTCATTTTCTAAGGCATGAGAAATAATATGGATCATAATACATACTTACTTAAATTACTTACTATTGATTTTATATTATAATAAATTGTTTTCATGAGTATATTAATGCCATCAAGGGACGCAAATTTTGTACACAATTCTTCACGTGTAATTATAGCCGATAATGTTTGAAACAGATCAGAAATTCCATTGACATTTGAAGCGTTCAAAATGTCTTGAAAATAATTTAAAAGAAATTGAAAGAAAAGAATATATTCATAAAGTAGTTAATAAGAGAGATTTTGTCCATGAGTTTAGCGACTCGTAGTCAACAAGTTGAATACTTCCCAACAGTCTTTAAAACAAAGAGAAAGGTAGCTACCATAGTTAACAGACCCCAAAGATCAGCTGATTCGTCAACAGCATTTACAATAATAGGTTCTCTGGCGATTAAGTATTTTTATTATTTATCCCTTGGGTTCCTAGTGAAACATAGGGCTTCAGTAGCACTGCGTTCTCTGCGGTGTTTTCAACCTGGCTCCTCTATGTCATCCTCGGACGCACAGCTCATCGTTTCCCATTTAAATTCCACCCGAGGGCCTGACGTGTAATGTTCCCAATCGGCCTTCTCAGTGTATGTCTAATCCATCTCCACTTCCGCCTGAATTATCTGTTAGGTGATAGGTCCTTGGTTGGTTCATTGCTCGGCTAGAGTTCATTGTTGCTTATTCTTACTATTCTGGCCATCTGATCTCATATTCAGTATCGAGCGAGCGTAGGTGGCAGCTGTTGATGAGATGTATGTCTGTAGTTTGGTGGAAATGCGTTTCGTGACGCACCGATTTTCTGAACCATATGGAAGGACTAACTTGACGTTGGTGTTGAAAATCCGGATCTTGTTTTTTATTCTGAGTGCAGTTGATCTCCACATTGATTTCAGGTTAATGAAGGCCTGTCTTGCTGTCTTTCCGATCGTGGCTTTGACGTCGTCATCTGTGCCTGTGGTGCCTGTAGTTGAAACGATACTGCCTAGGTAGGTGGAAGAGACAACTTCCTTTAGGTTTCTCCCGTTAATGGTGACTGGTGCTTGTTGTTGTTGGTTGGGTACCTTCACCACCTCTGTCTTCTCTACATTCACTTGAAGTACCATCTTCGCTGCCTCTTCTGTCAAATTGTTGGTTTTCGCCTGTAGATCTTCGAGTTTATGCGACATCAGACACAAACCATCGGCGAAATCTAAATCTTCTAAGGTCTTTTCATCGGTCCAGAGTATGCCCGTCTTCTCGCTCCTCACGGTTTGCTGCATGATCCAGTCAACCACAATCGGGAAGACTAAGTATTAGCATAGGTGTAAAAGCTTTATTTGGTAACTGCTAGACCAAGCAATAGGTAAGAGGTCCAACTGCTTAACGAAGTGCAAGTAAATTACTTAACAATCTACCCTGTTTAACTATATGATTGGCGTACATGAAATCTGAAGATATGAGGAGGACCGTGGGTGACTGAGTCACCAAACTGATAAGATTAAAAAGAGTTCTAGGAAACGATTATGGTAGCTTAGGTATTTTATGTTGTGCTTTGCTTTACATAGACATTTTAAAAGACTATAGAAAATAAATTTTGTTTGTGACAAAAACTCATGTAATAAGAAGCTGAGTAGCACTAGTTATCTATTAGGCAATACTCAGAAAGCATGCTTCTTTCGGTCAGCTGATTTGCAGTAAGCCAGTTATTTTAACGGATAGATACTCGATATTGAACCAAGATAAATGCAGATTTAATGAAGTGTTAGTCGATGGAATCCCTGACTGTTGGTTTCAGCCTTGTTCGGAGATGCAGACTAACCTCACTGGGGTTTCTGAGACGATAGGAACCAGTGGTTGAGAATTCTTGGTGACATGCCTTTAAAATCGGTCACAGCAACGCAGATGTATTCACTCTTTGATATCTTTTAAAGCTTGAATATTTGCACTGACAGTTATCTTCAAATTGTTTATTCTGTCACACAACTTTGTCTACTTTGATATCAATCTTCTTCTGTCTACATGTTTTCTATGTACTATTGTGAAGTGTGGTAACTTGATCCAATGGACTTGTTTACGAGGTTCTACGTTTATTGTGTCTGGTTTTATTTCCTGATTGCATGATCATTTAGTCGTCTGAAGTACTATGACGAACAAAATCTTGTCTGCCAATTCAATTGTTTAGAATAGTTTTCCAACTATTACTCCAGTAATTAGCAGTATTAAGATATTGAGGTAAAGAATAACTAAACATTTGTTTAAACAGTGTCTACCGGTCTTCTCAATACATTTATTACCACATTACAGGGGTTGGAGGTGAAAACACTATTTGAATTAGCCTATAATGATCAGCTTTCACTTATCGAATAGAGATGAAACGAGCGGTACTTACTGTGCATTGTTGAGTATAAAGTATTTCTGAATAACTCGTAGAAAGATATACTTGTATTCATTCTCATTGATGTACACTTGAAATATTCCAAAGTTATACTAATGCCTAAGTAGATTTTATGGGTTTCTCTTTGTACTATGTGGGACTGAAGTCTAATGTAAAGCACTTTAATTTGCATACTTAAGCTCTATGTTAGTGACACCTGTCTTCACTTCGAAGACTAGTATTCATCAATGCAATCTTTTAACAATCGCCCACAACTTTAGGGGCTATATAGTTTAAGAAATTCTGAAGTCCAACTGTGTCCTAGGACGTGTCGTAAATCATTATTCAAATGAAGAAGTAATCGTAAAACACCACCTTCAATGTCCTGCACACGTCTTACGCACATGATCTCCACAGTTTTGATATTAACCACTAGTTTTTGATCTGTTGTAGACAGGAAAAAGTGATTACTCTGTGAAGTGGTGATACGAAGTCAGAAACTGCTCCCTTCGATTACAGTGTATTGATGATATATTATAGCTATCCGCGCAGTACTCCTGACACCACACAACTTCGTGGGTTGAGATACTATCGGATATGACCATGAACAAAAGCTAGCTAATAACAACATTGATTTACTTTTATTGTATCATTTGTTTATGAGCACCAATAAAAAGGGTAATGAGAACAGTGAAATCCATATAATACATGAGCTCTTACCGAAATGTTTCTTTCGAGGTATAGACATGCATGACATTCCTAAACATTTCGTCATCCTCAAGCACTTGGCTCTTCCTGGTAGTTCTTTCAAAGCAATTTAAAGTGTTTCCCTACAATTTCAAAGGACTTCAACTACATCTTTACACAGCCAAATCATTGGGAATTCATAACCTTAAACCGAATCTGTTTAAAAACCTTAAGTCCACTACTCACTAGCAATTGTCAGAGTAGTAATTTGCTTGTCTTCAGGGACAAATTTTTATTCTATTCCTGAACATTATGTTAATTAGGTAAGCCTAGTGATTATTAATAGATTTTCAACGCTTTTGAACACCTATGTATAACGACTGTAAAGCTTCAGTAAATGAAACTGTCGAGAAAAAAAACTTTTTTTTTGCCATTAAGTCTTTGTTCTACGACTTAATGTAGGATTTTCCCGTTTGTTAAAGGAAACTTCTTAGACATAACTTATGTAGCTTTTTCTACCCTAGTGACTTATTTTTTACTACAGTTTTCGGGAGAACTGTAGAGTCTTGGCATTCTTAAGCAGATTTCAAGTCACTGTGAAGCAACTAATGGCATCCAAAGAGTGTGGGGTCATTTTGCAGGGTTCTTATTCTAGAAAGAATTTAGCTGATGATAGACACGCTAGCGGAGAATTTGGATTATGAGAAATTGGTCACTTATGTGACGGAGAATGGACTAGCGAGAAACGGTTAGAGATGTAGTTAGGATGAGATTATGTTCCAATCTCCACACAACTCAGTTAAAGACGGGGTCGAACTTAGATGCAGATGTTTGAGAAGTGTAACTTATGACTGAGACAAAGTATGTTATTTTGTACAGTAGATAATTGGCACACCGGTTACAAGCATAGCAGCGTTTATGAGTGTGACAGAGATAACTTTCGTACAATGGTATCAGCGTTTTAGAGATATTTGCTCCCAAACACTATGAAATGACTATAGTCTTCGGTGAGTAACGTGAAATGGAAAAGACAGACGAAACAGTAGAGTCGTAAAGAAATAATGGGAAGGTTGTTTATTTTCTTTGTATCTGCAGGTTTTCGGAATTGGGGATAGGACATCTGAGAAGGGATACTTTTAGAAGGCGGACAATAGCAAAGTTTCAAATATTACGAAACCTATTCTCCTGGGAACTACTATTCACACCGATGACTAGAAAGCATGTCTATGTCTGAAAAGGTTGATATATGATCACCATATTGTTGTGCATAAGTTAGCACTTCATACTAATAGTGTAGAAGGAATGTGGAGTCGTCTGAAGGTTTTTACACGTTAATACGACGACTTACGTGGATTAGTGCTTTGGAGTGTCATATGGGCGGATTTCTTTATCGTGTCTATTTTCACTCTAGGCCATATGAATCAGTTGAAAACCTCAATCACGCTAAAAAACAATATTCACTGCAATCTTTTATTTTAAGAATTCGTATGCATCCAAGGTCACATCCGATTCTACAATTCCATAATCTTAGAAGTAGTATTCATCATGGACTGATATCAGTTGGGGGAACCATTGAAAATCTAAGAGCACTGGACAGCTGTTTCGTCCTAATCTACTAAATTGAGTGACATACTTTTTGACGTACATACTGTGCCAAGTTTGTGTTTTAGTAGGAATAACAATAATAATATTTAGCGATATGGAACCATCAGTACATCAGTTACACAGATCTCATCAATTCTTGACGTGATAAATTAACCACAAGTAAATTATAAAATAATTTATATCTTAAGATACTTTTTACTTTATGTTTTAGCGTTAACAGATAGCTAAACTGACTTTATTTGAGCTAGTTAATGCTTTTATTGCCAGATAAATAACTAGGTGTAAGAGTTCTTGCTGCTCCCCTACCGTATTAACAAATATTTAAAGAAATGAAATTAAACACTATAGCAGAAGAAATTAATTTCAAAAAGACAGGATATACTTACTGGAAATTAAGTTGATAAACACTTCCAAACATGAATCGCTTTTAGCAATACTTCGTGCATTTTCACTCCCAAGACCAAACTCAACATCTAAATCATCATCAACTGTGAGTGATCGTAAAAATGCACATGATTCTTTTAAGGTAGGATAGAAGACATCAGAAGCCATATTATTTTGGATTTCCCCGAGTTTTTTTAATAAATGTATAGTCTGAGTGACAGCTTGCGTTTGCGAGATAAGTGCTCTGTTCTTCTCATTCTTTGTACAACTAAGATGTAAAGTTTGATAAACTGCGGCTATTAGGACGAAATGTGATTTCTCTAATGTACTTCTATCTAATTCATCAATTAATTTGAGCAGCATATTGACCAATTCTGTGATAACATACAGAAGAGAAGAATGAAAAACTTTTATAAAACATAAAGTATAAAAAAAGTTATGTGCAAGTTTGACTGCCAAGTAAGACCGAAAAAATAGGTTTTATCCACTTCCCAGCTTGGAATCTTCTAAACAGGTAGTTCTTACGGTGGTCAACTACTAAGCAATAGACAAGCTTCATACATCCTACCTATTTGAGGCAATACACTGATGAAAATCCTTTGATGATACTGACAACACATATTAAACTGAATGTTTCAAGATACCAAAGATAAAATATTCCTAGAAAATAGCTGCAGTCAGTGTTACGAGTTGGTAAAAATGAAAATAGTTCCACAAAACTCAGAAATGAAATATTAATTATAAACTGAAAATTCAATATTTTCGTTGTGGATTTGTGGCTCATTGGTTTAGGAAGTTAACTTTCAACCAGTAGGTGGAGGGGCTTGAATATCGCTTCATCTACAGAAGTTTGGGCACTCAGGTAGTATAATTAGTCTTTACACAACAGGTGTGGCTCATTGTCCACTGCACGAATGTGTACAAGGTTACTGAGTGGGTTTTTGATTTAATTCGATTTCGAATACCAGAATAAAATAGCACTAAGTTCATGTCTTCTTACACATTGAAAGAATAAAATAAATGAGTGGTAACAAATTATGCAGACTAGATAACCGTTTGTCGTTTATGATCATTATCTTTGATTTACTTTATTCACAGAGTACTGTAAAATTGCAATCCATGCATCATCATCATCAATATCAACATAGGACCAGGCATTACTGTGTAACGGTCAGAGTTGCCACAGCTCATATCAGTACATCAATTAAAAAGGCAGTGAAGTGCAAGATGAAGGTAGGAAAATTCGGTCAAAAGAAATATAAAACACGAGGAGAAAGAAGGGAAGAATAACAAAATAGTGAGATTGAGCATAATGTTAAGATGAGGATAATGTGTTTGTCTGCATATACATCTGCGCCACTGACATCGGTCCTGACCCATATCACCTAGAATCTCCAACCACTGGTTCCTCTTGTCCCGTAGACCCCAACCACCAGGTCTGCATTGCCCCACATGGCTCGAACCAACGGTCAGAGGCTTCATACATTGGTGCCATGTTTTAGTCTGGCCACCTCAAGCCTTTTTCCAGCCTGCACCTACTTCGGCCAACATTGTGTGGCGAGGCAGTCGGCGACTAGACATACTCAGTACGTGTTCATAACTTCGTCAACTGACTCAGATGTACTCCCTAAAACTACACACCTCATTTCTGCACTACTCACGTGGTGACACCACGGAATACGTCCTATATTAAGAAGGCAATGGTGGTCAAACACCTGAAGCCTTCTCATGTCTTCTACCTTCAATGGCCATGTTTCACAATCATACAGTAGAACAGAGCGGACTGCTGTGCAGTACACGCGACCCTTAATAGACAAACGGCGGCGCCATAGGTGGCGCAAATCGACAAAAGCCAATCGCGCCTTTTGTATCCGTGCAGAGATCTCATCGCAGCTTACCCATCAGGGTTGATCCTACTTCCCAGGTAAGTGAGGTAGTCAACACAGTCAACCACTTCACTCTCTATTGTCAGCCGCGGCACCGCTGAAGACCAGTCCTGGAGCAAACATTTGCATTTGGGTGGTGAAAATCGCATCCCAAACATTCTCAAATTCCCACTCAAAGTGTTCAGAAGACTCTACATCTTATCGGTCAGCGTCTTCACCTAACAGGACTATGTCATCTGCACATTCTAGGTCTAACGAAAATTCCCCTGCTATTAGGTCAATCTCTGTGTAGTCAGGTGATAAGAGGGAGACCTCCAAAAGAATATCTATGGTAAAATTGAATAAGAGTGGAGAGTGAGCAGCCTTGACGGACACCACTCGATGAGCATAGCTCCCTGGACATCTCACTATAGGCTGTAACACGCCCACAGGTGTTTGAGTAGAAGCCTTCAATAAGGTGATGAACTTACTCGGCACATCTTTTACTAAGAGACATTGCTATAAAACTTTTCGATCAACGAAGTCGAATGCCGCTTTCAGGTCGAGAAATACAGCTCGTCTCGGGCGTCGGTAAACGTGCCTATGTTCCAGGGTTTGGCGCAGTGTGGTTTTCTCGGGTTTGCTGTTCCCGAGCTCCACTTAGGCGTCGGAGAATTATAGAACTTAGGACCTTGGACACCATGTTCATCAGGCTGATTCTCCTCTTTTTGTCACAACAGGACTTCTCGCCTTTCTTGAAGACTGGGATAATCAGTGATTTAGACCAGTCAGAGATCGTGTTTGATTCCCGTATACAATCCATGCATTTCACACATTAAATGGCAAGTACAGTGCAAATGGGGAAAAAATGAGTGAATGGGTCAAAAGAGAAAAGCCTACGCTGAATTTCAAATGAAGATAGATACCCTACTTTTTGCTGCCACCACTAAAATATGTATGAAACGTTCTTTGTCCGAATACACGTCCCTTTCTTTTTAAAACCTACCAGGCCAAACACATTGAGGTAGTCGACATAGTAGCCCACCCGCTGTTTAAATGAAACTCGGAAAAGTGAAGTTAAAGAAGGGAAATATGCCATGAGTATCGAAAACAGCTTACTTATCCATAAGTCGGGAACTAAATACCTGCTATAAGCTTATTTATGAAGAAAAATACTCAAGTTAAGTGGACCTATGAACCCATGATCGGAAGTCACTTGGAGATACTGACCAACTGTCCTACTAAGGGGAAGACATTGAAATATATTCAGGAGTTTTGTGCACCTTCCTGCAGTGGGGAACGAGTCACGCCTAATGTATGAGGGTTAATGATGCTACCTAGCTGTACAGACGTAGGTAGGTGCGAATAGGTTCGAACTTACGACCAATCGCTTGAAGACTAAGTAACTAGACCAATGAGTCACAGATCCACAAAACAGGGAAAGACAATATCGTTTGATGTGCAGATGAGATACGACAACTCAGACAGTTATGGAGTAATGTTAAGTCCCAAGTTGATACGACAGATACTATCAACATACGCAGACACATTCAGCTATCTTGTGTACATTCGTGCAGTAGTCACTGAACCACACATAGTATAAGGGTCAGTAATACTATCTTGATGCCCAAATCTCGGTAGTTAGAGCGGGGTTCGAGCCCATTACACAATGGTTGAGTCATCTTCCTCAACCACTGAGCCATAGCTTTACTATCAACATACGACTTGCCACTACTGCCTAACAGTCTAAAAAGTTACGGAATGCCATGCTAACAAACTGACAACGGTGATCGTCTGTTGCAATTGGCTCTTGAAAATCACTAGTTTCTGGGCAGCACTAACTTTGAGCATAAGGATAGACACTGTGTCACATAGCATCCGCCGATGTCAAATCGACGATAAACACAGATAGATTTCATTGCTGTAAGCCATCGGTGGAGGATTGTCCTTCCTTTTGGAGTACCTGTTCTGACTCCGATCACGTGCTAGTACGGGCTCATGTATGTCTGCACCCTACAGGGCTCGGAAAACAGATGTCAGTAAAGCTTGTCCATAGTGGATTGCACGATGAGGATGTCAAGTATGTGTTTAGGGAGCAGTCAGCTAAGCATTTATCAGAACGTGGTAGCAACGCATATACTGAAGAAACCTGGCGTGATATTAAGTATGCAGTAGAATTCGCGGTTAAAAGCAGTTGGTAACCAATACCAGAAGGTTAGCAAACGTCATTGGATTTCTGCGACGTAATCCAAATTGTTTGATGCGAGAACACTGATTCCAGCTGGCTGACCACGATGAAGAGAGAAAGCAACTCGAACGTAAACTGACCAAGGGTCTTTACGTCGATAGAGAGCAGTGGGTGGCGAAAGAGATGAAGAAGGCATCAGCGTTAGGCAACATTCGGCTTATTAAGGATAGCGGCAAGAAAACGATGATTAGTAAAACTATCATAGAAGAAGATACGACTCTGATGAACTCTCAGGATAGGTCGCCACAACGTTAAGGAGAAGACTCTGAAGAACAATTCAAATGGTCCTCAGAAACCCTTCAATTGCCCAGAATCCAGCCTGAACCTGAATGGGACGTATATGTTGGTCCTCCAAATCTTCTGAAGTTGAGAAAGCTGTATCAAACCTGAAATGATGCAAAGCATCATGACCTGTCAGTTCACCGCTTGAGGTTTTCTAAAATGGGGTAAGAAATTTTTAATTAAAGTGGCACAGATACTAAGTTGTACATGGGAATCGGAGGTAGCGCCGTCAGACTGGTCTACTTCACTGATAATCCTAGTCCATAAAAGGGGAGAGAAGTCTTTCTGTGACAACCACTGGGGCAATTTGTTTGACTAATATTGTGTCCAAGATCCTAGGGTCCATAGTTATCCGACGTTTAACTGGAGCTCAAGAACAGCAACCTCGAGAAAACCGAGCAGATTTGAAACCTAAACGAGTGTGCATCGATCAAATTTTGCACCCTCCAACAGGTTCCGGAACATAGGCATAGTTACCGGAGATCGACAGTTGCCATATTTCTTGATTTGAGAGCGACACCTGACTCAGTTGACAGTGAGGTGTTGTGGCCATATCCGACAGTGAAAAGAGTACCGAGCAAGTATATAGCACTAATCATTGCTCTCACTTCTCGAACTCACGCAAACGTGCAAGGGAATAAGAAAAGGTGTCATCAGAATTGACGAGAACTAGTGGTGTCTGCCACAGAAGCCCCATGTCACCATCCCTATTTAACTTCGTCATAGACATACTGAAAGACATAACTTTAGGTACCTCTGATTTTACAGGGATTGATCTACCGCCTGGGTGTCATCTGGTTGATTTACATTATGCAGACGATGTTTTCCTGCTAGATGAAGATGCGACGCAATGTAGTGTCTTCCGGACTCGTTGAGCAGAAGTTTGAGTAAGTTTTGCATTCATTTCGCACCTTTTAAATTTAAGCTGCTGCTCTAGGACTGATCTGATACACATAATCCCAGTTTAATGACAGGGAGTGGTGGTAGAATGTGTCAAACAATTCACCTGCTTGAAGAGTTGCATCAGCCCGAACAGGTTAGTTGCTGACGAAATCCCAGCTCAAATTTACAAGGCCTGTTTAGCATTTGCCAACTTGCGTCATATGTCGAACCGATTAGCGAGATATCTGACCACCAAAAAACGAGTGTACTGTACAGCGATTCGTTCTGTTCCGCTATACAGACGTTAGAAGTAGCCTTTAAAAGTCAGACATGAAGCGATTACATGGTTTAGACCATAGGTGTCTTTGTAGCATTGCTCGCGTTTGGTGGGATCACTGTGTGATCAATGCTGAGGTCAGAAGAGTACTGGGCACCTTGATTAAATGAGTTGGCTTGGACATGTGTTGCGTGTATTGAGTCACCCCCTACTTCGACGTACCATGCTATGGGAAGTTGGAAGAGGGCTCAGGGTGACCAGAACAAGATGTGGGACCAGTCGGTAGAGTCCCTGACCGTTTGTCTGAGCCGTGTGGGGGGGGGGGATGTGGACTGCCTGACTGGGGTTTCTGAGATCAGAGGAACCAGCAGTTGAGGACTGTTGGTGACATAGCTGAAAGTCGCTCACAATGGAATAGATGTATTCACTCCTTAATGTCTTCTTAAGCTTAAGTATTTGCACCAAACATTATCTTCAGATTGCTTATTCTCTCACACAACCTTGCCTACTTTGATATCAATCTTCTGTCAACCTGTTCTTTTCATACTACCGTGACGTGTGGCAACTTGATCCAATGCAATTGTGTGCAGGGTTCTACGTCTATTGTCTGTTTGCAGCTCTTCACCTAACCCACGGTTTACGTAAAAGGAACACCTCTTAGACCATCATCTTAGAAGCTTTAGGGAGGTATTTAGAAGCATTCACACAGTGAAGCATCAAAATAGAACGCTAATTGAGTTCCAAGATGTGTGCAGTAATTCGGATAGTATTAGTTTCACACGCTCCCGAAGTTGATATTAAATATTTCAATTTGAAGGAAGATATTTGTGGGTTTCTCTGTGACTACATTTCTTTGTGCATCATATGATTTGACGCCAAAAGCTTCAGAAAGTTGTCAGACAGATGCACAAGAAATAAATGTGAGCCAAGGCAGGCCATGAAGTTCAACATTTGCTGTAAACATGCTTTGGAGTTTGAAAAACCTGAAATAGCATGCATTCAAAAGCAATGAAATGCTCACTTAAGGGTTCTAACTTTCAAATATGTCCAAATGATACTTAAATACTGCGAAAGACAAAAATAGTTACATCGCAGTCTCCTACGCTTACATAATTCATGATAATCTTCATCATATCAGTATCTCTTTGTAATTTCTTACTGTTTGCTTTCGCATGGTAACGATCATTAACAACGTGAACATGGTCCATAGTCTTTGAGGTAGGAAAAGTTGGTGGGGGATACGTCGAACACGTGGTAACTACCGAGATTACATAGAAAGGATTGAGACAGCAAAATTCAATGGAAAATATAAGTCTTTCTAAATATGGACATTCACGTTGAAGAGTAGACTGAAGATATTCAAGCAGTCGTACTTACCTATCGTGGAAAAGTCAACACTACCCGATATTTAAAACAGCAGAAATGAAATTTCAAGCACGTTCTTAAAACATCTGCGTGTTCACTTACTTTTGATGTGTTCCTCATTAACAGCATAAGAGTGACCTGTAATCACTGTGGACAGTGCATTCAACAACAAGGCACAGACAGAATAGTCACCAACCAGAAAATACATGTCGAACAGGTTGAGCAAGATATTCACAGCATTCATACTGATGAGCACCTTACGGACAGCAAAGTCAGAGTTGCTTGGTGACTTTAAATACTGAACGTAATCCAACAACTGGTGACTGTCTGTGGGAATCTCCGTGAACGATTCCAGGTTTTTTATCGCCAAAACACATGGATGACCACCTTCATATTTCACCATATCTTTTACAATTTCCGAAAGATCCACGCCCTAATTATCACAATCATTATTGACACAAGAATACCATCTCAGACCTCCATTTTGAACGTTTTGACAGACTCTTCAACTGCATCGTCCATTGAGAGGTCGAATAACTCCATATTCGACCTCACTGTTTCATCAAAATAAGTTTGTGAAATCTTTTTCATCTCCTATCCAATATTCAGTATGGATAGTGCGAGCGTAGAAAACTGATAGTCTTTGATCTCCCGCGTTGACTGCGGATATCCTACAGGCGAAATTAAAGAAGCGCCTTACAACTTGGAAACCAATCAGAATGCTGTCTTGTGACCATTGTAAGGTCATTTCTCGCCATCTTAGTAGGCCATGTTGGACGATTGGTTTCGTGCTAACGAGATTTTCGCTGATTTATTAAAGTTGTAGACGTTGTTGCCGTTCCTATGTTATGGATTTTACTCACTTATGCCCCGTTTATGATACTGCCTTCGTTGGTTTTTCCAATATCTAATATTGACAGTGCGAGCGTAGAAAACTGGTAGATTTTGATCTCTCGCGTCTAGTTCTTAGGGCTTGGTTCGAGTTGTTCGGTTCACTCCTGCAGTGGACGAGGAAATCCCCTCTGCTTTCTTGCTTTTAGCTTCGGTGAGGTGGATGTTTTGTGGGTTAGTAGGTTGTAATTTGTAGAGTGATTAGGGAGCTACGGGCTGCTGGGAAATTTAGAGAACTGCCAGTGACTCCTGTCTGTGTAGGTACCTGAAAGAGAATAGTAAGGTAGTGGTAAAGGAGTGAAGAGAGAAATAAGGAAGAGAAAAAAAGAAAGTAATAATAATAATATAGGGAAGAGAAAAGGGAAGGAGAAGAGAAGGAGGGGTGAAAAGAGAAATGAGAGCGAAAGAAAAGTATTTGGGAATTGCCCGAATGGTCGCGTGGGTTTGGTTCCTACAGAAGAATTAGTAGGTAATGTGGGTGTATTAAGGAGAGAGATAGTGAGTGGTAGTCAGGAGGGAGTCGGGGGCTAGTGAGGTTGGTGACTACCTGAGTACGTCCGTGGTAGTCCATGCGAGGTGACATAACTGTCTAATCGCCTCTTGAAAGAGTCGACTGAAGGAGCTATAACGATGTGTCGTAGTAAGGCATTCCATAAAGCACATACTCTTAGGGAGAAAAGTTTGGACCTGAGTGTGGTGTTGGCTCTCTGGTGTGCTATCTTAACGGGATTTCCCGGTGAAGATCGTTGAGTTGCAGGCAAAATCGATTTGTTTGCATGGTCTGCCTGATGGGCGATCTTGTATGCCATAATGAGGTCACCCCTTTTCCTGCGATAACCCAAGGTAAATAGGTTGAGGTGTTTAAGTCTTTCAGGATACGTCTTTCCCCTGTTTCGTTAACTGTTTTCATTGTTTGCAATGTTTAGGGACACAGGTCAGTTATAAAAGTGTTTTTGCATATTTGTTTGTTGAATTCTATTTCCTCATGTTATGTTAATGGATTAATGTAAATTTATCCGCGTTATGTTGTTCTTGTTGTGTTGGAAGTTGGCTAACCGTTTAAAAAAGCCGTGATACTACCTGTGGTGCCCTGATCTCCGAGTTACTTCAATGTTTACGGCCTTCATCTGGTTGTTTAAGAAGTTCGTACGAACGCTAACACCTTCCGTTGCTGTTTATTAACACTTTATGTGAAAGTCCTCTAAGAAGAACGCTTTAACTATTCGTTTTCATAGCTCCGTGGATTCTCATCAAGCTTCTACTAGCAGTGCTAGCCTGGCTAGCGCAACGTGTGTTGATGTTCCTGAGGTGTTTGAGCAGATTATACGACCTAGACATTTTACTGACTGGAGTCAAGTCGAAGAAGCGATTATTACGTTTCAAAAAGTATGCTAAGAAGTTGCTTAACTCGATGTTTAGATGACGAATACTCACTACGTTGTGAGTATAAAGGAGATGCTGAAGTGAAGTACCACTATGTTGTATTGGCGTGTACTTTCGGAAACTGGAAAAAGTCTGAGGGCACCAAACAGCGAGTTAAGGGGTAATATAAGAATTTGCCAAGAGTAGCGTTTTACATCGAAGTACATTGGTTGTAAATCTTGAATTAAAATACGCTACGATTTGTATCACTTTATTTTTCCAAGTTTCAAGATGGTGCACAACCATCCGTGTGATGTGAATTATCTTGCGATAGACCCTTGGTCCAGATGGTTATCCGAGGAGGAAATGAGGGTTGTTCGACCCATGCTGACAGTGGGGTCTGAACCGGATCGTGTTGTTAAGTATGTAAAAGACGTTATGTCGAAGGACATAACCTGCGACTATATGAAGAATATCTGGAGGAAAATAACGCCAAGTAACATGTTTCCTTGATAATTTTTATTCTGCAGGTTGTGAAACTCAGCCAGTAGTATTCGCTAAATTAAGAAGTAGTGGTCGGCTGATAACCTGGAGTGATGGTGAGCATCACCGAGTTGATCGAGTCCGCTTCAGCAGTACCGATCAAATAGCCACCTACCTCCAATTTCCTGAGGTTGTATGCTTCGATCAAACCTATAGTACGAACAAGGGCAAGTAAGTCTATCGTGATAGCATTGACATAAAGTTTATCTATAAATTGTTTCAATTTGTCACTGACAACTACGGTAACAGTCGCCAAATTATGTTTGGGTGGACTAAACGAGAACAGAGGACAGATGTAGCATGGGTGTTGGATGCCTTTAGGTGTATAATGGGGGAAACTTCTTCCACACGGACATTTGTTATTGATTGCGCTGTGGCATTGAAGGCAGCTGTCGAGATTGTCTTCCCCAACGTTGATGTAGTCCTTTGTGCATTCCACGTTTGCAGAGCGATGTGCAAAAGGGTGAGCATTTCAAATAAGTTTTTGTATGCACCTAAAGACAAGAAATCTAATGCTCAAACGATATCTGTGCAGATTAGTTCGAGAGGAACCAACCAGCACGTAAGATGCGAGCGGTACACTGACGTCCAACGCAGGTCTTATGTATATAACCACATCAACGCTATCAGTCTGGATATGGAGGGGTATTTAAGTCACATGTGGATGAACTGTAAGCGACTTTGGTCCCCAGCATTCTACAGTGATGTCCTGACACTGGGTAATAATACTAAAAATCGAGTTGAAAGCCTCCATAAGCAGATAAAAAGGAGGCTGAGAAAATGTGACATGCTGCATATAGCGATGTGGAAGACACATCAGTGGGACACTGGAAGAAGTGAAAGGAAGAAATTGGAAATGAAGTCGCTGGGTTCCGGAAATCAAGGGTCTGCTGGACCTAAAAGGCTCCAACCGATCCTTGACAAACTGAGCCCATACGCAGCAAGACAGGTTGTGAAGAACTTTAAACGACCGGCAGCAGTTTACACTGAAAACAGGTTATCCAATTGGGTTTACTTCGCAGACGGCTACAGGATTCTGGAAGTTAATGTGCATCGGGGGATGTGTTCCCTCAACTTTTATAAGACCTGCCTGCTCTCCTGTAGGAACATGCTGATAGCTCACTCGTCTTATGAAGCGCGGACATAACAGGCGAATGTCTCAATTCAGAAGTGAATATAGTCACGTATAGGCTACAAACCTAATGAAACGCTGCATCAGTCAAGCAGATGAGGGCGTGAACGCAACCGACAGAAAACAGCTCAGCGATGAACCGTAGCCTATTCGTCTATTCCAGTACTTAAAACCTGCCTGCATTTTAATCGTGAAGTTTAAGCCATCCGCCGTCGTAAGTATGAACGAGAGCCCCTCCAGAATGATAGCTGCTAAATTAAGGTGGTGGTCGGGCTTGCATATCACAATGACCCAACGAGCTATGCTGGTGGAACGCTTGTTCCCTCGAGGTTCTACCATACCAGAAAGGTCTGTTGGATAGTGGTTAGACGAAAAGCAGTTACCGTTATAGTGTAAATTGCTACACTATGATGGGGGTCTGAGGGCGAAGTCGTACTGCTGCCAGCTGGATGGGATGTGACAGCAGTAAGGTGTTTCCCTTGGATGACCAGCAGTGCCATGCTGATGCTGCCTTCTCAGTGGAAGGGGGGTTAGAAAAGGTCGGCCCCAAAAATAACACACTCCACCACGCCCCACGGTCTGCCGGGCCGGCGGTGTTGGTTCACTTGTCGTTTCCTTTCGACCATCCGGCCCCAAAAATACAAAAGTTCAAAATAATCATACTCAAAAGGCTTGGTGTGACAGGCCTCAAGCAGATGTCCGATGGGCTCTGCGGTCACACAAATCTCTTTCAGGTACCTTAAGAAGAAATAGCCTTCCACGGTGTGGGCAGCCGGGAAGTGTCAACCGCCCTCACAACTCTGTCAGCACCCAAGTTTCTTCTGACTGCTATCCACCTCCTCCATCATTACCTTCTAATCTTCCTTCACGTCTCTTAATTAATGATGCTGCATCATCTTCAATTTCTCCTACCTCTGCAGCCTTCGACAACGATCTGAGTCCACAGAACAGCATCACTGGTCTCCTTAAACCACGCTCCAAATTACATATTGGAGCCTTCAATGTCCGCACCCTCCGTCAAATTGGCCAACAGGCTTCGTTAGCAAAGACTCTAGCAACTCGGGCATGGATGTGTGCTGTGTTTGTGAGACACGCATACAGGACCCAAGTGTGGTTATTCACCTGACCTCTCCTGACCAATCTGGTGAATCTGCAAAATTCACCCTTCGAGTTTCTGGAGATTCGATAGCTAGCTCTCGTGGTCTTGCAGGTGTAGGTATAGCATTAAGCACCAGGGCAGAAAACTCACTACTAGACTGGATCCCAGTTGATAGTCGCCTCTGCGCTATGAGGCTGAACGGCACAGTGAGAACTAAAAGGAATAGTGAGACTCGCCGTTGTCTCTTTGTAATCTCTGCTTACGCACCCACTGACTGCAGCTCGGATGAAGTGAAGGACGAGTTCTACCATAAACTGTCTAACCTCCTCTCGAAAGCCAAACGTTCGGACGTGGTGGTTGTTGCAGGTGACCTCAACGCACAGGTGGGTAGACTGAGTGAGGCAGAAAGGCACTTAGGTGGCACTTTCGGAATCCCAGCTGAACGTACAGATAACGGTGATCGCCTATTACAACTATGCTCAGATAACCGCCTATTTTTAGCCAGCACAAATTTCAGACATAAAGAAAGGCACTGTCTGACCTGGCGTCCACCGAGCTCAACTCAGCGATGGACACAGATAGACCACATTGCTATTAGTCATCGCTGGAGAGGATCGGTGGAAGACTGCCGCTCCTTCTGGAGTACGTGTTTGGACAGCGATCATGCGTTGGTCCGAG